AACTGCTGCCCTGAGCAAGGGGCAGCCACTATGAGATTCACCGCTTATCTGACATCTCAGGAAGGTGATGCAGAACAGCTCTTTTTATCCCATTTGAACTTAAAAAGACAAGAAATCTGATTTATTTTCTTTAGTCCAAGGGAACTTTTGAGTTCCTTCTTGTTTCCATTTTGCAGTGGGGAGATATGGGAAGAGTGTTTGGGTAAAGCCAAACCCACATTGAGTATATCTTTTTGTTTCATTTGAAGCATTTGAACTTTTTTTAATAATAGAAAAATACTAACCTATGCCACAACAAGGGAATATTTCAAGTGTTTATTTCTGCTTCAGTTTCACAGCTATGAAGCACTGATAATATTAGTCACCAAGGAACCGATTGGTAAAATTTGAAAATGCAGTCTGGATGAGACAGTATTATTGATTTACTCTATTTTACTGCTGTGAATGTTCTTGGAAAAAATACCCCATTCTGCACAGAAAAGAAAAATTTTGTAAAAAATGTCTATAGAAATGAACAGATAATTGCTGTTAAAGCTTGCATTGTCCAAATTACAGAAGCCCATTGGGATAAGAGATCAGCAGTGAAGTAGCACATTTTTATGTTTTGTTTCTGTAGTTAAAAGTTAATCAGTTATCAGGTATTAAAAAAAACCTGAGAAAATAACCCGGAGGACAATATTGCATACAATCATAAAATCACAGAATGGTTTGGGTTGGAAGGGACGTTAAAGATCATCTTGTTCCAGCCTCCCTGTCATGGTTCCAGGCATGAGTCTTCCACAACTTGTCTGGACAACCTGTGTGAATGCCTCACAATCTTCACAATAAAGTATTTCTTCCTAATGCCTAATCTAAACCTGGTCTCTTTCAGTTCAAAGCCATTGCCCCTTGTTCTGACCTGCCACAGGTGCAGATCTTGCACATGAATTAATTTAACATCAAGCCTTTGTTCTGCTTAGCACAAAAACAAATGGATAATGAAAACTGGTGTGAACACCTGCATCTTAAAACTGATTGTGAGCTTCGGGTATTCTTTCAGTGCTGAGCCTCATGAAAAATACCATGAGCACTGCAAGGCGACACAGCCTCTTGGGAGGTGCTGCTGATCCTGAACACTTTGTTACTCTTCAAATGCATACGGTGGTGCTGGGTTGGCTGCTGAGCCAGTACCAGGTGCTAGGAACACTCAAGGCCATATAATGAATACAGGGGGAGGACATCACTGTTCTTCTGTGCTTTCCTGGGCCAGAATGCAGCTACACAATTATTCAGTTTTTCCTGGAGCAATCTGTGTCAATTAAACATGCAGGCATGTTTTTTCGTTGGTTGGTTGGTTGTTTGGTTGTTTTTTTGTTTTGTTTTATTTTCTTTGGTGGGGGATCATCAGCACACACTGTAATAAAAAATTATAGTTTTTCCCTGAATGTGAATCTTGGATGTTAACTGAAATCAAGGCAGGACATTTGAGAACAGAGGTGAAATATCCTATTAAACAATTCTCATATATACACTTGAAAAAAACATGTAAAAGCCTTCAGGTGCTACTTCAGTGTGAGTAAAAGCTTTACTAGTTTTTCCACTAGATGGTTTAATAAAGAGGCATCACCTTTACCTGTAATCTCTGTATTATCTGGGTGCTTAGTCAACCACAACCTCAGCCAAAATTGAAGAATTAAATTAACTATGACTTTTGTTGTTGTTGTTTTAATAAGACAGCACAGATTTTATTTTCATGTAAGATAATTATTTCTGGAGAAGTTTTTCTTCATAAGCCTGACTTTGTAACTACTAAGGTTTGCAACAATAAAGCATACTTCTCAAACATCTCTTTCAGGAGAACAATCCCACTATTCAAGCATCACAACCACTGCTTGTCAGGGAACTCTCTTCATCTCATGGAGGAAGAGTCATGAATGTGCTAATATCTGCACCAGTTTTCCAGTTTGTGTACCCACAGGCAAAACTGTCACTAGTTCAGCAATTTATAGATGTCAGAGGTTAAAAACTGTGCTTAATTCTTCACTCAATTAAAAAGTTCCACTTAACGAAATCCATAGCTTTGCATGAATAAATGCTACATCAAAATCAGCGTTCGCTGGATAGAGTTCAAAGAACTGACCCAAGTTATCACACCCTCTTAAGCCTCACAGGCTCCTCCTGCATCTTCAGTACGGTACTGGCTGAACTTGCTGATCCAACAGAAAACCATTTCATTCCAGTATTAAGCAGGACATTAGGAAACAGCACAAAGCTACTGAGAAGGACTTCAACAGTGAAAGGTTGTTTTTTTAAACTGTTTTCCTACTGACTGGACATTTTTCTCTGCCTTTGATCTGTTACCCTACAAAGACTGCTCTCCTTAATGTATGTGCTCGGTAAGGGTTGAACGCATCTAATAGAGCCTGCATGTCTTGCAGAATCATCATGAAAGTTTTCATTCCAAAGCACAAAATACATTTCTGTGCTCTTTGCCTGGCCAATTAATGATGGGAAAACAGATGGTGTTTGCTCATTTGTCAAATTAAACAAAATCCCCCCAAAAAGCAACAGAACACTCCTCCTGAACGATTTGGTTGATCATTATTATTAACACATCTCTCCAGGAAGCAGCAATTATCCAGCCAGTGACTCAGTGTTCTCTTGCCCACAGCTACTCATTCTTTATGTCTGTTCATTGTCCCTCAAATGCCACCTCAGTCTCACTGACTTAACTGCTCCTCCTCTCCCTCCTTGTCTTGCTGTTGGTCTCTAACTGCAAACATCCACATCCCAGCCTTCCTCCATCCCCTCCAGGGGCTCCCTGGATGGCTCTCAGGTCCCCCACTTTTCTTCAGTCTCTTTGCTCCCAAACTACGTTTTTCTGTCTTTCCCGGTTTTACCCATTGAAGTATTCTTCCCCTGTGACAATCAGCACCTCCTCTCCTGTCCAGACTCCTCATCCAGCTTTGGCACCTGCCTTCCCGCCGCATCTGAGATCCCCCTCCATTCCCGCTCCATCCCTCATGACTAATCTCCTGACTGACTCCCTTTCAGGATAATCCTATAATTTTCCATGTCTTCATGCGATATTATCAGTATAACTCAAGACTTGGAAAGGGCTGGAAGGACAAGAGATTCAGAATATCCAACTCTGGGACATTAAATGCTTAAAGTATTTTCAAATTAGGTGCATATTCTAGCACTTCAAAGCTCAATGCATTTTTTTCAAAGGCGGTGACTTTTTAACAAGCTTGCAGGTTTTGTTCTTTGTTGTCAGAAATATTAAAAATATGAAAAAGAAAAAAGAAGGGAAAAAAGGAAACAAAATAAATTAAAAAAAACCAGCCCACCAACCCTTCTTCCTTTGTTCACAGCTGCCTGAGTTAATAATTCTCTGTTTCTTCTGTGATCATCAACAAGAAAATTGAGGGTAAAGCAAACTAGCTGGCAAACTTTATATTTTAAATTAATTCCATCTTCCTGGGAATAAAACCACCTTAAAGGCTCTCAGATAGTTATTATGCCTGAGAAGTACTGAAGAAAAAGGACTTCTCTACACCTGGACACTTATTCCATAGAATTAAGAGTAAGCGTATGATTAAACACTTTGCTGAATTTTAGACCATAAATGCAACTCTGCAAAAAAACTGAGCACTCTTCCACTAATATGAACATATTTGTGATGCTTTCAAATAAAACTTCCTATTACTAGCATTCTTTTAAATGTCGTACAGGCAATAGCATATTGTTCATAGTTGGTGCTTTCCTAAGCTGAACTGCATCTTTATTAATGTAAACAGTCAATTTTTATGAATGCACTACTTCGAAAAAAGTCAATAAAAATACTATCTCAGCAATCACGAGTCAATGCAGGTATATCTGAAGATCTTGCAAATCTTTCCTTTTAATGATCCATGGCATCTATATGGTTAAGTTTCACCACAGGTGCAGGTAGCTGGGTGAGAAGGGAGGGAAGGGAAGCAATTGTCCATCCCCCTTGGCATCACCCAAGCCCCTTGGGTTATCAGTGGGGGATCAGCAGGACCTGCCCACCTGCCCCACCTTCCTGCCATCTACCCTGTGGCTGCAAGAGCAGTTTACTTATTCATTTAAAAGCAAACAAACAACTGGCAATAAAAAAACCCCAACAAATCACAGAACTGGTCAGTACATAACAGTATTTTCTAGTAGATGTGACTCATCTGAGAGAAGGCAGGCACTGGCTGCCTGAGTGGTCTGTGAGTGGAAGAGGAGGAGAGAGAAAACATTTCTGTGCTGTAATTCTCATAAAACACAAAACTGAAATAGGTCAGCTGAACAGCACTTTCAAAGTGCAACTTCTCCCTGTTGACCACAAAAACAATGTCAGGAGGCATGATCAAAGGTGGTTATCACAATTTAGATTAGGTAAAATAAATTGATTGTGTGCTTTTTTTCATTGTGATCAATGGGGCACAAATATTTTCCTCTGAAACTTCCCTCTGCCTCACTAGTTTTAAATATATTTGTATGAACAATAGTGGTGACACAGACCTGGTTACCCGTGACATAAATTAAAGGCAAGACAACCCACTGCATGCACAAGAGAAACTTACAGAAGAAGAATAGGCATTTCAAATTGAACGTGATTATGAATGAAATTTACAAACAACTAACAAAAAAAAAAACAACAACATGTTGAAGAATTGCAGCCATGCAAGATTCATTTAAAAGACATGCAGATGTGGCACCTGGGGACATGGTTTAGTGGTGAGCTAGGCAGTGCTGTGTTAGTGGTTGGACTCGATAGTCTTAGAGGTCTTTTCCAGCCTCGATGATTCAATGATGCTCAGTGTTCACAGGGTAGCTCTGCCCTCTGGACCCCATGGTCTGGACAGAAAAAACCACCATGTCCCAGAGAGCAGACAGCTCAGAGAGAAACTTCCTTGGAGGGGGTTTTTGGGGCAGGTGTTATGTTAAACAGTGACTACACATAGGAAATCACAAGTTTTGGCTCTAAACAGAAAGCACATATTTTCAAATGAAGGTATAAAAATGTATTTACAAAAAATAATCACAAGCAAATGAGGGGCACTACATCATATACTATACCCAACAACTTCCTCTTTAACCAACAGGATCAAGTTATACATAATAAATTCTTGTCACATTATTTGACGATGTGATTGTCACATTATGTAATAATTTGAACAAGAGGAGTTCAGTGAGGAGAAGGAAAATAAATACCTCTATAGATTCATGGCAGTAATGCACAAATAGGGATAAAAAAGCTCAACATATCTGTACTTCCATTTGTGGAATTTAATAAAACCTGGGGATCAAATACCAAAAAAAAAAAATGTCCATGTAATTTATACTAAAGGCATTATAAGCAGAAACTGTTAAGTATATAAACATAACCTTTACACTTGACTATTTACCTTTAACTATGTAATGAGTTTTCTAAGCCGTAATGTACTATATCCCCTCTTAAAATTTAAAAAAAGTTCTAGCAAAATAGGGCTTCTAAAATTTCAAATATGATGAGGCACTCTGCTGTAAATAAGACTTTCTGAAATGAAAAAAAAAATCCTCAGCACAAGATCAGTCACATTTCTGGCAATGCAGGGCATCTTGTCCTACTCAATTCTATATGTTTAAATCTTGTAATATAACATTAACAATAGAATTTAATCTGGAAATAATCTTCATGGCACAGTACATTTTTATTTCATGACAATGGTTCTTCATTGGTGCATTCCCCAGAATTCTGCTTTCTAGCCACAATCTATTATGCTGCTTCTGAGTGGCTTTGTTTTCCCATGGCTAACTCACCACTGATTTTGTACTTTTCAGCAAAATAATCAGAGTCAAAGCTCACAGACAAATCTGGAGGACACACGTAAACGTTTCCATTGTCTATTGTGAGCTTATGAGTCCTTTGTTTGACACCTTTTGATTGCCACTGTGGTGTTGGTGATGGCTCCAGAGGGTTTATTCCTTCATATAATCCTTCTCCTGTTTCCAAGGTAATTTTAAACTTATGCCAAGGACAAACAATACATGCTTGGCCATTGATATCCTGCAGGAAGAAATAAAAAACACAGCAAGTCATCTTCTAGGACAAGAGATATGTTTGATGATTTGGCTGCATGGCTGGGTGCTGTTATATAACCAGTTTTTTCAATGTTATGCTCAAAAGTACTAGAAAAATGCGTCAGTTTTCACATGACTCTATGCCAGTGCATTATTTTTATTTTGCTTACATACCTCTATTTCTCCTTGACACAAAGGACCTCCTTCATCTGAAACATGGCAGAATACAATAATTATTTATGTAGCAAACATACTTTATAGTTAATTGTTGCAACATAGAGATAATATGTGCAAGCATCTTACGGTAGCAGCGAGAGTCCAGAGCATGAAATTTCCCCTCATGGTAGAAAACAACAATTTCTCTGCCATCGATTTTGGCTGTTATTCTTCTGGACTTCTTTATGTCCTCTTCTTTGCCAATAAATATAAGACCATCTGGCCCCGTTTCAGCTGTTCCTGTGCTTGAGCTGTGTGACTCCGCATCCTTAAAACACACAAAAACGCACGCAAACAAAGGAAAAACCTACTTATAAAGCAGGTCACATTTGGATTTCTGTGGGTACGTGGATGTCCCAGAGAAAACCCTGATGCATAAGGTAAAAGGAGGAGAAGTTTTAGTGGAAGACTATCAACATGCAGACAAAGAAAAGCACAGGAGTTTGGTGATAACGTTCAGTCCATGTTCACTAACAGAACAGGGACAAGGAAAACCAGCTGTTGCAAATCTGATACCCTGCAAACCTTGCCTCAAGCTGAGGCAAGATAAATTCTCAATCACTATTCATTTACTCTGCACTTTAACCACCTTCTCCCCTCAAAACCTATATGCAGACAAATACAAAGATGGTAAATGTAAAATACTATATAATTTATTTATGCAAATGAGTAGCATTTACATGTAAACCCAGTCCTCTTTAAATATTATAGCTAGAAAGATAGTGATGTAAGTTGATAAAAAATTATTCTGCAAAAGGGAAAAAACATTGTTTATTGAGCTGTATTCAACTAGACCTTTCTAACAAATGTGCCTGCCTTACGCTTCCTCTTCTTATGTATTTCAAACATCTAACAGGCTCTCCCTCTCTCAACAGATTACATAGGCAGCTTTATCACAAAAACTGCCTTCCCATTAAATTTACAATTAGCTACTGTTTTCCAGTTCTCTTCAGATTCCTAGTACAACCACGCTACCCTTCCTTCCTCAGAAAAAACGGTTTAAAACAGGTCTTTATAAACACAGAGCCCAAAGGGGAACTGTGACTGGGGGGGCCTCTGGCTGCAGGGGATGCAGAGCCACTGAAAGCCACACTGTACCTTTGCTCCATGCCAGATGGCTATGGAGATGAGAAAGCAGATGAAGTAGTGGATGCTGAGGATGATGAGGTCCAGCATTTCCTCTCTTCACAGTGTCTGTCTGCCAGACCTTGTTCACATCTGTCATGACGTGTGTCGCAGCACCTCTTTATGTGCAAATGGGAGGCAGTGGGGCCGGCCCCTATAGCACCCTATGGCAGGATGTATGGAGGCTCAGCACGTCAGAACCCAGCTCTGTCAGGGCTGATAAGAAGCAGGGACATGCTGTGGCTGGCCTGATAACAGAAGAGGAGAGCTTCACGTTCCTCCTGCTGCTGTCCTGTCAGCCCATGTGACTGCTGCCTTCTCCCAAAACCCTGCTCAGTCATAGGTATGTGCCATGTGTCCTCAGGATCGCCAACTGCATATTTCCATGTTTCATTGCACTGGGAAGAGTAGTGACATTTCCAAGGCCTGTTGTTAACTGATCTGTACATGGTCAACTGTATAGACTACTGACTGACTCTCTGCTTTCCAGTTCAAGGAACTTCCACCCAGTCTTACCCAGAAAGTGAAACGTCACCGTCAGACTCACAGGATGAAGCAATAAGGCACTGACATTTATTTTCTTTGGGAGATAAGCATTGCATGTAGTGAACTAAACATAAGAACCAGAGTAGGAAATCCCCAAGTTTTACTATTGCCTTTTGGCTGACTCTGCCTATAAGCTTTCCAAATTGGCCAAAATAATAAAATGCAACATGTAGTTAGAAACACTTTTTATGAAGACACCTCTCAAAAAACTGTGTATTTAAATACATACACCTATAGAAATACACATACGTACATATTTGTACAAACACACATACACATATATGCATATCTAAACCATTATTAAAATAACACTTGCCACCTAAACTCTAGCTCATTTAGTGATGATATTTCTACAGACAGCCTGGATTTTGCACACAGTAATTATCCAGGCACCTCATTCTGAAACCTGAGTCAGCACACTGTGGACTCTGCATGACCCAAATTGCATAAGCAATCAATAGCCAACAGCTTTGTTTCACAACTGATACTTGTATGCTTATCTACACCCAACTGCACATTAAGAACTACCCTGGGACATCAGGCGTCCTCCAAAAGAAAACCCTTGAAGCAACTTGTTATTATGCTGAGTTTTTTAAATGCAAGGTGGCAAAAGATTTTCTTCCCTTAGATAAGGGGTGTAGTTAAGTACTCCTTATCATTAAATATGTGTAACCAGACCCTCTTACTGCACATCTAGTCGTGGCTACTTTCTCTTCCACGAAGTAGATGTGAACCCTCAAAGTATGAACAGAACCTGAGATATTTCAACCTAGAGCACTCAGAGGCAGCAAAAGCCCCAAAGGAGGCAGCAGATTCTTGCCTCCACAGCCGGTGCCACATGAACAAAGACCTGCTTTCTTCTCCCTTTCCTTAAACAGCACAGCCATGGGGGTTAAGCTTTAGCATAGATAAAGAGACAGCTGATCTGGTGACCATCACCTGCTGACCAAAAACACATTAAAATGACAATTTATCTCTCACAGCCCCATGGGAAGTACTATAAGGTGAAATAATAACCAACTTAGCTTTCTTTTCTCCTGTTTTCTGTTTGTTTGTTTGTTTTTCTCAGGTTGTTAACCATGTTGAGACCATCCAATCAAGTAAGCCATGAGTAACAATGGGTCACATTACCCCCTAACAGGTCCCATGACAGAATCCTGAGCTACCAGCCAGCTATTGGAGCAGCACCTGGCTGTGGAAGTGAGTGCAGGGAGTGACTTCAGGCAGTAAGAGAAAAGGTTACTTCCACACAAATAGACAGTAAGCTAGTCTTCTAATAGATTTTTTTTCCTGATGTTTTCTTAAGAGTTTGGCTGCTTTGGTATTTTCTGAGTTGCTGCAGATGGCACGGATGAAGTTGTTCCTGTAGCCAAGTGCCACCTGGTGGGAACGACAAGGGGCTTGGAAGCAGCAGAAGGGTTCTGGATTTGTGAATTATAGCAACTCATTGCTGTACCCTGCTCTAACTCATTTTCCTGTGTTCTGGGGAAAGGGAAAAATACCACTGCTGTGTGGGGCATGGGCCAAGTGTGCCCTGGTGACATGGGTGGGTGTGGGCACCATTCTGCTGCTGGTGCCTGTGGTCTTTTACCTTAGTGTTGGCTGAGTTTGAGGGATATCTTTTTTTTTTTTTTTTTTTACTACCTACTTTATTGTCTTTATTTTTCCAATGTTTTCATGCCAAACACACTTACAGAAGAAGGTAAGATCAGCAGGACGGCAGTAACTGCCTGGACATTGTTCCCATTTAGAGCCTGACTTATTTGTCAACCTTACAAAGTCTTAACATTATTTTCATCATACTTTGTGGATTTTGTAATGCCTCATTCAGAAATAAAATTGGTCAGTCCAAGAAATCAGGTTTTTTTGGTGTTGTTTAAATCCACTAGAATAGTGTGAATGTGACCTTTGCATTTCAAGCAGGCTTATGCACTTCTTGCATTAAAGAATGAGTGGTACAGACTGAGCAGGGGACTGTAACAGGCATACTGCAGTGGGATGTTTGTGAGTAAAACACCCCTTCTTTTGGCAAAAGCCTTCTAAAACATTGTCATAATTATTCCTGCCTAGCATATTTTAAGGCAGAGCAGTGAAGGAATACTTCTCTGAGATTGCATCCTTCTCATTTAGCTCTGGTATTGTTCATGAGATTTTCACTGCACTTACTGAACCAGCTGATATTTTTGGTCATTTTGACACTACAAATAAAGCCAAACCTATGTTCTTCTCTGATGTGAGAGCTCTATTTTCCGTGGGACTGGGCGTGAGCAACCTGCAATGTTTATGGCTGGTACCATATGTGTATCAATACCCTCCATATGTTGATGACAGCTCACGCATATGAAAGTGACTGACAAACCAAAGAGGCAACATTGAGAGCTTGGTGGCTCCAGGATGGAGCTGTGTTATGTGCTGTCATCAGACCTGGAATGAACCTTGCTGATACCTGACGGAGTAGGAGGTATTTCTGCACTCACGCAGCCAGCTGCCGTGCCGGATTCCTGGACCAGCCGACACCCAAGGAGTCCAAAATGCTGAAAACAAACCACACAGGTCTTGCACACATTTGGGCTCCCACAGATGCTACTCAGATGGGGACTGAGGACAGTTAGTTCAGAACAAGGCTCCTACTTGTGCAGGGTCCCACTGGCTCTTCTGCAGGGTTTTTCCTTGTTGGTTGCATGTGACAAATCAGCACAGGTTTAATGACACAGACCTGAGCGTAATCATGTCCTTGTTCCCTGGCTCTCACCAACCTATCCAGTATCCTTTCTCTACACTTCATTCTTTTCTATGATATCACATCATGTATCAAAACTTGGTAGGGGCTCATGTTGTTCTGGATTTATCTATAAAGGAAACAGGTGCTGTATGACAGGGAGCTGCAACACCTCAGCCTCAACAAGCTTCCTCTGAGGAAGTTAGGCTTAAGGTAGCTTTTCTTAGAAGAAGACATTGCTCCAAAAACAGTGACCTCATGTGATGTTTTTACAGAACCTCATTACAATAATTCACATCTACTCAATTACTGCTGCTAATAAAGAGTTCTTAAAAATGCTGAAACTGTGCAGTGTAAATGGGACTGAACTTTGGCCGGGAAGCAATAGTGGTCAAGCCTAAATCACTCTCCGGCAGGCAAAAAGGGGCTGTAAGGAACATCCCAGGGTACTTGTTCCGGTTCTCCAATCTTGTGCAGGACCACATGTCCCTTTGACCATTTCTGACAAATATTTTCAACTTATTTCTAATGAATTCCAGTGACAGAGTTTAGCTGCCTTGACAGGCTGTTTTCAGCCGCTCATCAGAACAGGCCTGCCTGAAAACCAAAGTGATTTCTTTTTCTGCTCTTGGTGGCAGCATTTTCCATGCTTTTCTGTGAGCCACAGTCACTGATGAGGACTTGTCAAGGTTTCTCTGTTGGCTGATACCTCCTACGGTTCACAACTTCCTTATTTATATTATTTTCCTTCAGTTGCTCTTCTCTGTTTATGTCCTTCTTAAAATACAAAGTCCTAAAGCAGAGGCAATACACTGAGCATTTACTGCAGTTAATAAAACAATTGCCTCTTGTGTCTTACATATGTCACTCCTTTAAATCACACTCAAACGTCACTCATTTCATTTGTCACCACATCATGCTGACTGATACCCTGTTTCAGGTTCTGTAACATTTTTATAATATTATGCTTTTTATTTCATGTGAAAATGCAGCCCAGAAAGGTTTTTTTTTCCACCATTTTAGTATTTTTCCCTTTCCCTTTAGTTTTGACCTTTAATAATCCATGAAGAATTTTACCTGATTGATTTCAGATCCAGGTTCCAGTTAATCAGGACTCCTTTGAATTTTAGCCTATCCTCAGGAGCACCAGTAGCTCTCCCAGGGTGCATTTTCTCATGCTTAGTAAGAAAAAAGTACACACTCCTGCATTCAATTGCTTACTAAAAAAATACCAAGCAGCACAACACCAAATTCTTTCAAAACAATTATGTTATTTAGGAAAAAGGCACAAGGGAGGAAAAAACTGATTTTAAACTCCTTAGAGATGATACCAAAACTTACATAAGAACCATATCCAATTAAGCTTAGTGTATATAAGTATTTGATATAAGAATTTGGAAGACAAAGCTACTCAGATTTTATATCCTGTTTTCATAGGATAACTGGTTCAAAAGTTTTGCGAGGAGACCAGCAGATAAATATCTCTTGTTCTGATTTTAGAAAATCAGTTTAAAACAATATAGAAAAGGATTTTTTACTGGCTTTTACTACTAGAAATACAGTTTTATCTACTGCCCCATGTTCTCTCCAGGAACTGCAGTTTACACGTGACACTTGCGAAAGAGCAAGTTTTTGTGACACTTGTGAAAGAGCAAGACTGCATTGAAAGAACATTTTCCAGAACAGTAGACTAAAAGATCCTGGATAAAGCCTCAAATAGTGACTTTATCTATTGTTTAGTTCCAATGAGATTCATCTCCTGCTTTTTTGATCACAGGTCACTTCAATAATTCTCTCTTAACAGTAATTTCCAGGTGTGTAAAAGTACTTTCAGTCCTGTTTCTCTGATTATCTGTCT